GTCATTATTGTATCTCACAGTTTGGCACTGTGAGAAATTCAGGAATTCAGGCAGAACTCGACTGGCCAATTCTTCCTCTCCATGTGACACTGACCACAGACACTTGATGATATTCACGTAGTGCTGGGCTGGAGGGCCCAAGATGGCTTCACTCATGTAAAGAGTGCCTGAGGAGGGGTGACCAGAAAGCTGGGTTTAGCTGGGCCTCTCTTCCTTTTCAGGTAGGGCTTTTTTTTTTTTTTTTTTAAACAGACTTTAATTTTTTAGCAATTTTAAGTTTACAGAAAAATTGAGCAGAAAGTACTGAGAGTTCCCATGTATGCCTCATCTTCTCAATTCCCCCTATTATTAACAACTTGCATTAGTATGGTACATTTGTTATAAATGAAGAGTCAACATTGATACAGTATTATTAACTGAAGTCCATAGTTTATATTAGGGTTTTCTCTTTGTGTTGTGCTTTCTATGAGGTTTGACAAAGTGTAATGCCATATATTCACCATACCAGTATTATACAGATTAGTTTCACTGCCCTAAAAAGCCCCTGCGCTCTACCTGTTAATCTTCCCCTCCCTCCTCATAACCCCTGGAAACCACCAATTTTTTTTTTTTTTACTGTCTCTATATTTTGCCTTTTCCAGAATGTCACATAGTTGGAATTATGTAGTATGTAGCCTTTTCAGATTGGCTTCTTTTACTTAGCAATATGCACTTAAGTTATCTCTGTCTTCTCACGCCATGACAGCTCACTTCTTTGTATTGTGACTAATAGTCTATTGTACGGATATACCTGGTTCATTTGTCTATTCACCTATTGAAGGACATCTTGGTTGCTTCCACTGTGAGGCTTTCTTACATGTCTCCAGAAAGATAGACTTCTCAGATGATAGACCAGGGCTCTAAGAGACCAGAGTTGCCAAGAATCTTAAAAGCCAACCCCAAACTGGCATGGTGTCACTTCCACATCTTATTGGTGAAAGAAGTAACATGACAGCCAAGATTTAAGGGTAGGATTGTCAAAGATATGAAGCCATCCTTAAATCTACCACATTGGCCAATGAGCAGACTCTGATGGTCCTAGAGGCCTATTTCCTTCTTCCTATTGGTAGCTCAGCAAGAAGCCAAGGGATTCCTCCTTTTAACAAACCAATTAGATATCCCAGAAATATACTATTATTAAATTACATAGTGACTTATATACCCAAGAGTTTTCTTTCTGTGAAAATATATAGATGTGCTAGTCTAGCTATGTACTGTCTGAGACACCTTTTTATGAGATAATGAGAGTTCAGAAACCAAATGAACACTGCTACTTCTTTATTTGAGTTTTTTCCCCAAAAAGTCCTATTAACCTTCTTTGTGTTTGTACTTATGGTGTGACAGGCTGTGATTCTGGGCCCACCCTCCACGTCACCAGCAATACCTCACCACCCTACACCTCACCAAGTCAAGAAGTAAAAACAGTTTCAGATATACAAATGCTAATAATAATGTTACTTCCCACACATCCTTCAAACATAGTGTTTAAAAGTATGCTCCATCAAAAACAAGAAAAATGTGGCCTTCCAGGAAGTGAGATATCCAATAAGTCAGAAAGAAGTGAAGAAAATCCCCAGGAGGATGAAGAAGGGTTCCCAGGACATGTGCTACAAACCAGGGTGAGAGAGTAACAAGTCCAAATTAAGCAGGTCAAGAGGTTTCAGGAGAGAATTCCACAAGAAGATGAAATTACTAAACTATATGATATATCAGAGCATTTTGAAAGGAGTTCAAATATCTATAAAAAGATTTAAGGGTAAATTGATGTTAAATACTTCAGAACATTAAGCAGAGAAACAAAAGCAGCTATTAACTCCAGGGAAATAAAAGAGTTGTGAAGAGAAGAAAAAGCAACCATAGATCTGTTGTAAATAGCTAAAGCTTCTTCTTGATAGTGAAAGGTGAGTAGATAATGCGAAAGACTAAAAATCAAGAAGTAGCCTTGAAAGTATTTGATTTAGAAATAAGGAAGAAAATTCAAAAATACTCAGCCAGGGACTTCCCTGGTGGCACAATGGATAAGAATCCACCTGCCAATGCAGGTCACATGGGTTCAATCCCTTTTCTGGGAAGATTCCACACATCATGAAGCAACTAAGAACCTGTGCCACAGCTACAGAGCCCACGGAGCTAAAACTACTGAAGCTCATGCATCTACAGCCTATGCTCCACAACAAAGAGTAGCCCCCACTGGCTGCAACTAGAGACAGTCTGAACACAGTTACAAAGACCCAGCACAACCAAAAATAAATAAATAATTTAAAAAAAATTTTTAAAGGCTCAGCCAAATAAGGTTGAAATTAACTGCCTCTCAAAATGGAGAAACAGGCAGGATGAGGAGTGTGAGATGGCTGTTGACCACTGCAAGGCCTGTAGAATAAACAGTTCAACTATTTTGTTCCACAACTTCAAGTCTTTGCCCACATTCACTTTTTCAATAGTGCTTGCTCTGACAACTCTAATCCTAGTTCCCATGTCTCCTCTTTTTTTTTTTAATAGCAATTACTGCCTTCTAGCATCCTCTATAATTTGCTTACGGGTGATGTTTAATGGGTTTTTTTCCCCTCCCAGAATGTCAGTGATACAGGGGCAGGGGTCTTTGTCTTTTTTACTTACCAGTATAATCCAGATGCCTAGAACAGTGCCTAGAACATTATAAGGTTCAATAAACATCACTCAGGTAAAATGAATTGATTTTGAAAACTATGTGCATGGGTGGCTTTGATATTAAAAAGTAAGATAAGTCACTTACCTCAAAACTCTACCACAAAGCAAAATTCCTATAATTAAAGTATTGCTCAGAGATCTTGGTCTTCTATTAACATTAAGAAATGTTATTAGGATTTCAGGGCTTCCCTGGTGTCTCAGATGGTAAAGAATCTGCCTGCAACGCAGGAAATCCTGAATCGACCAAGAAACCTTGGTCGAGAAAATCCACTGGAGGGAGGGCATGGCAATCCACTCCAATATTCTTGCCTGGAGAATCCCCATGGACAGAGAATCCTGGCAGGCTACAATCTACAGGACTGCAAAAAGTAGAACAGGACTGAGCGACTAACACATCTACGCCATTAAGATTTAGCGAGGCAGGTGGGGCACGGATTTGGAGTTTTTATTATAGTTGATTACAATGTCGTATTAACTTCACATGTATAGCAAAGCTATTCAGTTGATTACAATGTTGTATCAACTTCACATGTATAGCAAAGCTATTCTTTTTCAGATTCTTTTCCCTTATAAATTATTGCAGAATATTGAATATAGTGTATTGGGTATGGTCCCCTGGGCTATACTCTAGGTCCTATTCCATTATCTATTTTGTATACAACAGTGTGTATGTGTTAATACTAAACCCCTATTTTATTCCCCCTTTCCCTTTCTCCTTTGGTAACCACAAGTTTGTTTTCTATTATCATTAGTTTTCTTAGACTTCAGAAAGAACACTACTTGCAGTGCATTCCAAATATGTGCATATTTAGGATACAAATATGTATCCCAAACCTGATACATACTTACCTGTCTGAAGCACTGAAACAGTTGGCAAGCACTCTAATACAATGAGTGAAACTTATATAACACTTAAAAATAAATGGTGATTTATGTAAGGTTGTGAGACAGGAAGTCTATTTTAATGAAGAGAAGATAAAATACACTTGAGAAGATAATCAAAAATGTCTGAATTTAATTATTATTCATTAGTTCATACCTGGTCTTATTTCAAAAAGGATTTTAGGAAGCCTATGAAAGTATGGAGAACATAACATTAAATTGCATTTAAATTAAATTAAAATTTGGCAAAAGAAGATAGAAAATCAAAGATGGGACAAAGAAGAGGCAAGGAAGTGACTTAAAATATGTGCAGTTATAGCCTGCTACTGGTTGAAAATTTGTCTCTAAGATCTGTGTCCATTAGTATTATTGAATGTTAAGTAAGAGATTATGGAAAAACCCAAACAAACTCTTGGGCTAACCCAGTAGATTCAGCTATAAGTAACAGAGAAACTCAATGTCTGGGAACTTAAATAAGATAACAGAGGAGTTTATTTCTCTCGCATATGCAATCCGGGTCTGATATGGGAGCTCAGCTCTCACCCCTCTGCCTTCTCAGTGTAGAACTTATCCCCGTAGTCCAAAATGGCAGCTATCCTATTGTGGGCAGCAGAAGGGATGAAAAGGACTAAGCAAGGTCACCAGACAATTGTTTCCTGAGATGCAGTCCCAGAAACCGTCACTGGAGAATTCCACTGCCATCTCATGGTCCAAAGCTTAGTGAGGTGGACACTCCTAGCTGCAGTTAAAGATGAGTAAAGCCATCATCATTCGGGGAGCAGACACGTGTCCTGTCCTACTAAAACTTCTATTAAAGTAGATGAAGGTGGGGGGAACTTCCCTGGTGGTCCAGTTAAGACTCCCCACCCCCAATGTAGAAAATGTACAAAAATGTACAGTTTTGACCCCTGGTTGGGGAACGGGGATCCCATGTGCCACATGGCACAGCCAAAAAAAAATTTTTAATTAAATTAAAACAAATTAAAAAGTAAAATGGAAGAAGGGGGAAAAAGGAATCTGAAAGACCACAAGATTGTCTACCACAGCTTCACAACAACCAAAAGAAGAAAGGGAACATGGTCAGGTTTGAAATAATCAGGCTGGTAAAAATGATCAATTGCTCAAGAGATTTACAACAGCTCTTGGTTAAAAGGTTAGAAAGGGATGATTGGAAGTCTTCATTTAAAAAAAGAAGAAATCTGATCTTATCACATCAATGCAACCCATTTTGTAGAACTGTTCTTGTAACAATTCCTAGTAATGTATTGATAATTTAGAGAAAATGTGTCTGCAGATATTTGATTTTCTGAGTTCATTTTCACATTTAAAAAAATCACAATAAAAACATGCTTCTTTGAACTCTATCATGTAAATGTCCTGAAATTAAATATACACATATATGTTTCTTCCAGAATTAAAGAAAACTCTATTTACCTTCTTTTACGGAAAAGAAACCACTGCAATCACAGGGACTATCAGAATATTTCCAAAAATGGTATGTAGTGTTCCATTTAAATCTTCACCAATGTGCCTGTAATGATTGGTTTTATTTCATGAGTACCCAAAAGCAAAGAATTAGATAAGAAGACTAAAATGAACAAATTCCCTTTCTAATACCATTGCCTTTTCTGAGAGGGGGCCTTGGGTTCAAAGCCTTTCACCCACAGCAAAAGAGAACGAGACAAGATGCGGTCAAGGCAAAGAATGCAGGGGCATCTCAGTCATCCAGCGGCAAAGTTCTAGAAAGACCAAAGTGAGGACCTCAAGGTTCAGGAGGCAAGAGCTAAGTGAGCATTACTGGAACAAGGGCTGATTGAAATCCAGGTCATTGCAAAGATTCTGCTTTCCCTATGGTGAACCATCACCCACATTTCTACTGGTCTTAGGGTTTTAAGAAAAATGGCTAAGAGTTTGTGGCTGAAATCCCCCAAAACCATTTTAAAAAGGAACTTGGTTTCAGAGTGGTGTCATGACTTGCAGATCTCCATCCACTTCCCGTGCGTCCCAGACATCTATGTCTTCTGGGTTTGCCTCTTCCCTGTGTGGTTCTCACCTTCCACCTTGGGCCCAGATTCAGTCAATTGCCACACAATTTTGACGAAACTCCTGATTGATAAACCATGACCTTCAGTTCAGTTCAATCATTCATTCGTGTCCGACTCTTTGTGACCCAGACACGGTGCTGGACTGCAGCACTCCAGGCTTCCCTGTCCATCACCAATTCCCAGAGCTTACTCAAACTAATGTCCATGGAGTTGGTGATGCCTTCCAACCATCTCATCCTCTGTCGTCCCTTCTCCTCCCACCTTCAATCTTTCCCAGCATCAGGGTCTTTTCCAATGAGTCAGTTCTGTGCATCAGGTGGCCAAAGTACTGGAGTTTCAGCTTCAGCATCAGTCCTTCCAATGAAACCATGGCCTGACTACTGCCTAATGAGCTGCCAAGCAATGTTTTGTGACAATAATGCAGAGATGGCAAACAATTAGTGAGTGTGTTCCCACTCCATCTTCCAAAGCCTGGGGAAAATATTCCTAATACACCTTGGCACTCTTGTCTGCTGCACTCAGATTCCACCTCAGCGATTCTCACAGTACAGCACATCTGACAGTCATCATCAACAGATTAGACTTGGCACAGAAAGTTAAACCTATTTGCCATCCCTATGCCATCTCTAATCAACAAGAGTATTACAGAATTTCCCAAGCAGTACAAGTTTTATCTAAGTATATGACCTACGAATAACATCTTTATAATATATATTCTACCCAGAACAAATGTTCTGTTGTAAGGACAACATAGGTCTTTTCTTACTGATAAAATAATAGCTGGTGTTAATCTCTTACCAAATGCTAATAACAATTTATGTAAAATATTTCACCTAATTCTTCCCACAAATATAAAGCAAGTATTTGTTATATAAAACATATTATATTACTTCATGTCATATTGTATTTCTTCAATTCTAAGATACCACTGATTGTGTTAGCTCTGTGGAGTGCTAAGGAGGGGAAAATGACAGTGACTTCCCTTGTGGCTCAGCGGTAAAGAATCTGCCTGCCAATGCAGGAGGCGCAGATTCCATCCCTGGGTCAGGAAGCTCCTCTGCAGAAGGAAATGGCAACCCATTCCAGTATTCTTGCCTGGGAAATCCCATGAATAGAGGAATCTGGCAGGCTACAGCCCATGAGGGGTCACAAAGAGTTGGACAAGACTTAGGGACTAAACAACAACATATAGATTGCAGCTCTCAACCCAGTATCAAATGTGTTAAAATACATTTCTCAGAATTGAGGATCTTTAATGATATCCACCTGGACCTGACAGAAGGAGAAGATATTAAGAAGAGGTGGCAAGAATACACAGAAGAACTGTGCAAAAAAAGATCTTCACCACCCAGATAATCACAATGGTGTGATCACTCACCTAGAGCCAGACATCCTGGAATGTGAAGTCAAGGGGGCCTTAGGAAGCATCACTATGAACAAGGCTAGTGGAGGTGATGGAATTCCTGTTGAGCTATTTCAAATCCTAAAAGATGATGCTGTGAAAGTGCTGAACTCAATATGTCAGCAAATTTGGAAAACTCAGCAGTGGCCACAGGACTGGAAAAGGTCAGTTTTCATTACAATCCCTAAGAAAGGCAATCCCAAAGAATGCTCAAACTACCGCACAATTGCACTCATCTCACACGCTCAAAATTCTCCAAGTCAAACTTCAGCAATACATGAACCGTGAACTTCCAGATGTTCAAGCTGGTTTTAGAAAAGGCAGAGGAACCAGAGATCAAATTGCTAACATTTGCTGGATCATTGGAAAAGAAAGAGAGTTTCCGAAAAACATCTATTTCTGCTTTACTGACTATGCCAAAGCCTTTGACTGTGTGGATCACAATAAACTGTGGAAAATTCTGAAAGAGATGGGAATACCAGACCACCTGATCTGCCCCTTGAGAAACCTGTATGCAGGTCAGGAAGCAACCATTAGAACTGGACATGGAACAACAGACTGGTTCCAAATAGGAAAAGAAGTACGCCAAGGCTGTATATCGTTACCCTGCTTATTTAACTTATATGCAGAGTACATCATGAGAAATGCTGGGCTGGAGGAAGCACAAACTGGAATTAAGATTGCTGGGAGAAATATCCATTACCTCAGATATGCAGATGATGCCACCTTTATGGCAGAAAGTGAAGAAGAACTAAAGAACCTTCCGATGAAAGTGAAAGAGGAGAGTGAAAAAGTTGGCTTAAAGCTCACCATTCAGAAAACTAAGAGCATGTCAAATAGATGGGGAAACAGTGGAAACAGTGTCAGACTTTATTTTCTAGGGCTCCAAAATCACTGCAGATGGTGATTGCAGCCATGAAATTAAAAGATGCTTACTCCTTGGAAGAAAAGCTATGACCAACCTAGACAGCATATTAAAAAGCAGAGACATTACCTTGCTAACAAAGGTCTGTCTAGTCAAGGCTATGGTTTTTCCAGTAGTCATTTATGGATGTAAGAGTTGGACTCTAAAGAAAGCTGAGCGCCAAATAATTGATGCTTTTGAACTGTGGTGTTGGAGAAGATTCTTGAGAGTCCCTTGGACTGCAAGGAGATCCAACCAGTCCATCCTAAAGGAGATCAGTCCTGGGTGTTCATTTGAAGGACTGATGTTAAAGCTGAAGCTCCAATACTTTGGCCACCTGATGTGAAGAGCTGACTCATTTGAAGAGACCTTGATGCTGGGACAGATTGAGGGCAGGAGGAGAAGGGGACGACAGAGGATGAGATGGTTGGATGGCATCACCAACTCAGTGGACATAAGTCTGGGTACGCTCCATCAGTTGGTGATGGACAGGAAGGCCTGGTGTGCTGTAGTTCATGGGATCGCAAAGAGGCGGAGACAACTGAGCGACTGAACTGAACTGAACTGAATGATATCCACGTTGTTACAGCTGAGAAAACAGGTGTAGAGAAACCAGAATTTTGTCCGGATCCCATCAATAAGAAGTTCAGAGCCAGAATTTGTACCCGGCTTGTCTCACTCCACTGAGTCACCAGCAAAGATAATACAGTCACCAGCCTATCATCTGAGACTGACCTGCAGCAAGAGATCAGCTTTGTCTCTCTGTGTATGGACATGCTCAACAGTTTATTGGAAAGTTGTCAATGAATCTGGCTAAGGATCACCATAGACATGAAGTGAACACTGGCCACTTGTTGCCCTCTGTTTTTCCTTCAGTGAGATATTCAGACAGCCCCAGTGTTGTCAAAAGTTCTGTCAACCGAGACTGTAAAAATCAAAGAACAAAACCACCCACATGGAATATTATACAGCTCTAGAAAATGAGGCTTAAAGCATCATATTTTTTTTAGACCTACTAGGAAGCCATTGCTTCCTATTTTTACTTTTAAAAATTTTATTTGACTGCATCGAGTCTTATTTGCAGTACCTAGGATCTTCCTTGCCTCATGCAGGATCTTCATTTTGGTGTACAGTCTCTCTAGTTTTGGCACACACTGTCTCCCTAGTTTTGGCTCACAGGCTTAGTTGCTCTGTGGCACATGGGATCTTAGTTCCCTGACCAGGGATGGAACTCATGTCCTCTGCATTGCAGGTGGATTCTTAACCACTAGGCCACCAGGGAAGTCCTCACATGTTTTTACTTAGAAAGACAAAACACTGCCAAAAGAAAAGTCAGGATGTAAAATTGGATATTGCTTTAATTTCTACTATATTTTTAAAAGAAAAGAAAGATAGCTGCACATAAGAAAATATACCCAAATCATAATGTTTGATAAATTATGGGTGATTGTTTTTTCTTTTTTTTTTAACCTGTTTCCCAAAGATTTTGGTTTTATATAGAAATAACAATAACAACAAAAAAAATCTAGAAGGAAACCGGGCGAAATAAAGGATTTGTCCAAGGTCCCCTGCTGAGGGGACATGTTAGCTGCAGAATAAGGAATAGGATTTGGCTAGAAACACAAGCTGGAAGCTGTGCTCTCCCCATGTGCCTGCAACGCCAGCATCTCTCTCTCACAAGACCCAGGCATGTCATCTCCACATCACTTTGTACCCAAAATGAATGCAGCCATCTTTTGTAAAATCAAAAAGACCAAAGTAAAATTCTCTGAAAAGTACTTGGTACAATTTATAGTCGACATCTCTCCTTTTGTGGTACACTGTCATGACAGCATTTCTTTAAAATTCAGATTGTGGAGATAAAAAGAGAGAAAGGATATGGGAGGAGAGCCTAATCATGAAAAAACATGCGTGTCAAAATTTGATTGAAACCCATGGCTTCTGTCAGACTTTTATCTAATGAATAGATGCTGGGGTGGAGTTGCAGGATGGGGCAGGGGGTGGTATTTCCTTTCTTTTCTTTAAATTCACAATCCTTAGAAATACACAGAGTATACACTCTGTCTGGTATAACTTCTTTTATTTTTCTAAGGATGTAATTTAAAAAAAATTTTTTTTAAGTTTCTCCTAGTTACTCATTATTT